TCACGAGCGTGGCTCACTTTTAACCCTAGAGATAATTTAATCAGCGCTACTTCAAGTAGGTAATGCTGTCCACAATAATACTACAATAAGAAAGGGAGCAAGAGATGAGGATGTGAATATGAATGGGCATGAGAGAATGCGAATGAGAATGAGGACGAGCAGGCAGACACAGTCAGGTCAGGCAGCAGGCAGTCAGCTCATGTGTGAGATTTACGCGTTCGCCTTTCACTCGAAACAACTGAAATCAAAGCGTAACAAATTGCGGGCACAGGCAACAGCAACAGCAGGAGCAGCCGTAGCAGCAACAGCAGCAGCAGCCGCAGGGGGGGGCCAAACAACTTTCACTGCACGGATTAGCAGGCACGTGACTTTTTTCCAATGCGAGGGGGGGGGCACCGAAGAAGCCTTTGTTTGTCCGCTTCGACTATTGAAATCCGATTATATAGACGAGTATTTACACTTCATTATGAGCATTATGATGATGTTGCCAAAGGACAATGGTCAACTGGTCAGCTGGTCAGCTGGTCTGGCTACTTAATTATGTCACTTTGAGCGAATTTATTAATTTTTTTTTTTTTTGTTGAGGCTGTGCAAATCGATTTGTCGTTATAGCCATATCTATTAATATGGGGGGGGGCGCCTTATTGACATGTGAGGGGTGTGGCCAATTTGCATGCTACTGACACGCGTCCGACTCGGCGCTGATCAAAGCGACATCCGGCAGAGGCGGGGGATGAGCGAAAAAAGTACGGCCGACTATGCAAATCGAAGTCAGCCTGTCAATAAATGTGCTTGGACAGAGGTCAATGAGTGCTACTTAATCAATGTCAAGAGCGCAAAGCCTGGGAAGATCTAACTAAATGCCATGATGCATGGCTGTCAGAAAGGCAATGAGCGAGCGGGACTAAAGCGAATAAATATGTGAGAGAATCGAGAAATAAGTCAAGGGATAAGCGAGCAGATTTTGAATATATTGTAAGTAATAATAATGATAGGGGGGGGGTAGAGCAAATAAATCAAAACTACAGAATAATAATAATAATAATAGCCTCGCCGAG